ACTTCACCATGAATGTTCCAAATTAATCGGAGGAGATCAACCTGATCGTTTTGAAAATTTTGAAGAGAAAGACTGGAAAATGGAAATGCATAGAGTATCAATACCCAATTGGTATTTTTCAAATTTTATCTTCCACATTACGTAAACGAATAATTTCATCTTTAGGAAAAAGGATTCTTTATTCGAAAATTGAAAACATCGAATATCAGTTGAGGGAAGATCCAGAAGTCATTGATTTAAGTATACCGAAAAATATTTCAGAAATGTTTCGAAATAAGGATGCAGATTGTAACATGTTTGCAACAGTTGTTGATTCGACACAGTCAAGTGGTTTTTTTACCTGTCAAATACTTTGTTTATCAAATGCTGTTCCTAAACTTGTAATTCATTGTCCTCAAAGAAGGTTTAAAACGCGTCAATGCAAATTAATAATTAGATGGATGGTTATTGGTTATGATACAGATTTCAATTATTCATTGTTAGAATATAATTATCAATTATATACCATTAAAAAAAATTTTCAAGCAACATCATCACCTATGTATCATAAAGAATTTTTAAATTTTAAATTTGATATCAGCAAAGTTACTTGTATTGGAATCCCTGTATTAACAAAGTTGGATTCTTCAAATATGTCACTTGTTGTCGGACATCATTTTTTCATTGTTCAAGAAGAAAATAAAATTGGACTATACACATTTGCTTATTGTTTGAATAAGAATTGTCATGTTGATTTATCTGATTTTAGTTTTAATATACTTATTGTTTCAAATTTTCCTAACTCTGATGTCTATGGTATATTTCCTTTCGATAATAATATTATAAGAAACACGCTTAATAATTTTAATAGATTTATAGATAGATCTAATTCTTCAAAACCAAAATATGTTAGCTCATATTTCACAGAAGAAAATAAGTGTGTTCCGAATTTACTGCAAAGCGTCTATCAAAATCAAATTATGATAAAACCTATTAGCTGTAAAAATAAAAATTGTTTAATGTGTGTAAAGTTACAAAAAAAGAAAGATTCAAAAATCTGAAGTTTTCATTCTTTGATCCAGACTTAAGGTATTGTTATTTATTTATTGAATCGAGAAATAAGGAAAATTTTTCATTGACTGATCCATCTTTTATCTATTAATATAGTCATGTGAATAATTCATCGGGTAAATTAACGCAAGATTCTAATAATAGTTCAATCGAATCACCTCTTTCATCGCCGACTAAGGATATCAAGGTAGAACTAGAGAAAGAAACAAAAAGTCCAGGTAATAAAAATTTTAAAAGTATTAATTACACAATCAGAAAATTGACTATTAATATGGAATTTAGATCAAGAAAAATTAATTGATGCAAATGAATGGATCAAAAATGCTTTAAAAAGTGGAAAGGTCAGATTCATACCATTTGATGAACTAATATATGCGAAACCACTTAATCAAGGGTGTTTTGGTTCTATTACGAAAACGGTTTGGACAAAAACCAATGATCAAGTTGTTTATAAGAGATTAAAAAATAAAAAAGCTAGTACAAATCAAGTATTGAAAGCTTTTATTAATGAGTTAAAAATTCACTTACAAATCAATTATAGTGATCGAATTATACGTTTATTAGGTATTAGTCTAGGTATCTAATAGTGGATTATTTAAATTTATATTTAGAGGTTGAATCGGTTCCAACTTCTATTTATATTTATATAAATATTATTTTAATAATTAATTGTATTTTATTTTATTTTTAGATAACGAAACAAATGAATATCTTCTTGTAATGCAATATGCTGATGGAGGCGACCTTCGAAATTATCTTAGTGAAAATTTTAAAAAATTATCTTGGGATGATAAAATAAGAATGTCATTCCAAATTGCTGAAGGATTAAATTACCTCCATAACGAAAACATTCTACATAGGGATCTGGTATGTAGTTTAAAATTGCGAAAATCAAATATAAAATCAATTTTTAAATATTGCATTTTATCCGTTTTTATTAGCATTCTAAGAATATAGTTATACATGAGAATAATGCTAAAATTACAGATTTTGGTATAGCTAAATGTGACGATAATCAAAGTTCTACCATTAATTTTGGTATTTGTGGTATTATTGCTTTTATTGAGCCCAATCGTCTTTCAGATCCGAAGTTTCCATACACAAAATCTTCAGATATTTATAGTTTTGGTGTATTAATGTGGGAAATATCCAGTGGATTTCCTCCATTTAAAGAATGTAACATGTTTGCACTTGCTACTTCTATTGTCAATAAAGGAGTTCGTGAAAAAACTATACCAGATACTCCCAAAGATTATGAAGCGATTTACAGAAAATGTTGGAATCAAGAACCTGAAGGAAGACCTACCATTAGCGAAGTATTAGAAGAATTTAAGAAGCTGGGTTTTGGAAATAAAATGAAAAATGGTATGTATTAATAAAAAATTTAATGATTAATATCATATTAACTTATTTAATGATTATTAATTAATACACGAAACGTTTTAGAAAATGAAAATTCGATTCCTCCTTTGCAAGAAAAGAAGGTCAATAATAGTTCCTTAGAATCGTGTCGGTAAGTATATACATTAGCTTTATCATTTAAAGTTTATTTAAATACTAATTAATTAATCTGATTCTTAGTATTTCTTTATAAAGTCTTGATAAATAAGCTCTTGTTTGCAATTGAGAAATAGCTTCTTAAAATGTATGTTATCAAATTAATTAATTTCATAATTTTTAATGCAAAATCAATTAATATATCGAATACTATTTATAACGATCAATAGATGAATTTATCAGCAGCTTTACTTCCTTTCAGTACATATATTACATTTTATAATAGAAAAACAGATGGATCAGGAGTTATTTAGACATTCATTTAGTTATAAAAATAGAAATTCACATATATGGTTGGACTGCCATTATGATTTTAATTTCGAACTCAATAAATAAGATTATTTAATTTTGATAATAAAATAAAATGTAAAAACAAAATTGATACATAACATAGAATAATAAAACACGAATTAATATACATGTTTTTTGTTAAATGTTTCATCTTGATTGTTTTTTAAAAAAAAAGAAAAAATAGGTTGCAAAACTTCCGTGCTTTATGAAACAAATAAATTGGGAAGTAATAAGAAGCGAAATAAAGAAATGAAGAATTTATGATTAATGGTATGGTATAGCGATAGTAATTGCGTTCCCACTGGCTTCTTTCACTTTGACCGATTAGGATATCAACTCGGTGGGTACTTTTGACCATTCGAATCTTCTAATATAGGCAGGCATTTAAATATTGAACTATTTCATATAATAATGATTTGCATGCTTCCATTACAAATTTTCGCATACATGTTTAGATTTGAAAGTCATACCTGGTATTTTTTAGATCCTTTTCAGTTGACTCAGTCGTTGAAATTAGAAACCATGATTTGATAGTATGATAAAAAACTTAATATTTAACAAATTTATAAAATATAATTCATGATAAAGATATATAATTGCTAAAAATTTGAGATTTTGCGTTATGAAACAGGGACTCGGTCACATTTGAAAATTCCAGAGTCTACTCACCAATTCCGGATTATCCATAGGTACATTGGTGCTTGTTTGGTCGCTTCGTGAATCAAATTTATGAATATGCATCATGAAAGCTTGTATATACATACCCATACCATATATTGTTCTATCGTTACAATCCACGTTTGCGATATGGCCGTTTAAAAATTGGTTATCCAAGAGCCTTGATCTCGATGAATCTGTGTAGTTCTTTTTTTCGCGAAGGACATAATCTTAATGTCAACTCTATTTTCAGAAAAAAGAAACGATAAGTTTGTTTTTCAATTTTAGATTCATAGATTTTATTAAATTTGCAATTGGTAGAAAACAAACCTTCGTTAATTAGTTTCATAAGCATACCGCAATTGACACACACAAAATTGTATGTCGCGAATGAGAATGACAATTTTTTGCAAGGATTTCTTTCAATTTTTGAGGTTTACTGTAAACTTTGTTGGATCAAGAAACATAGATAAGAAGTAATATTGAGGAAATAAAAACTGTAAATGAAAATTTAAGACTGGAAGTATCTAAAGTTTTAAAGTTCGAGACTAAAAATAAAAATCGCTCCTTTAGCTCATGCATTTTTTCATAAAATTTCCAAATTACTAGGGAGGCCTTAGGCGTAACACCATGATACCACCATTAGACAATAGTATAAACGATAATAGCGGGAAAAAAAAAATATTGGTTGGCTACGCTGAAGTGTATAAAAATAATAATAATTTTAAAAAAATAAAAACCCTACCTATATATTAACCAGAAAGAAATTATCTAAAACAATAATTTAATGAAATATAAAATCAAAACCTTTATGATCCAGCATGAAAAGAGACCTAAAGAAAGAAAGGGGCGCAAGTTCCGGAAAGAAATCAAAATCGTTCGATTGTTGCATCTGAATTAAAAAGCTTGCGCAGAAGATCCAATTTGCTAACGAATTTATTTCTATCATTTTATCCTTGATCTAACCAGATTTAGATTAGGATAATATTTTCATAAACAAATTCTTTCATGCGAAAGCAAAAAATGATATAAATTGAATTTGTCAAAGCATAAAGCATATACATATGCTATAAGAACGTCGGTGATGACTAAACCTCAACTAAAAACGGACTTAGTTGAATTTGTTGGATAGTTCAATCAGCGCAAAACGTAAAAAAATAATAAACCTTGTTTTTCAGCATTCTCTCTATGCAAACAAAAAAGTTCAAAATTGGGAATATAATTTAAAAAGGAAATTCTTTGTCACACGACTTAGCAATACATTTTATATTTGAGTCAAATTTTCAAAATCGTGCTGTTCTCAATTTAAATGTCTACAAACACAGAGTGATAGTGTTGTATTCGGTTCTTTCGTTCATGTATTTATAAACAATTTGTATTGTACGCAGAAGGTAATAATTGAAGTAATATTGACGCATTAAAACTGCGCAAATACGAAACTATTACATAAAAATTGAATAATAAAAAATACTAATAAAATCGGAATTTAAAAAATAAACGAAGTTACAAATAAGAAATCTAAAAAGTTAAAACGGCGAAAGCGAAAATATCGCGAAGTTGTTAAAGGAAGGATTTTAAGGTGAATTTATGCAAATTATAATAAGGGCGAGCGTAGGATATTAAGCTGTTTAAGGATTTCCGGCTTATATATATATAAAAAAATAAAAGCAATTAGGCCAGAATTTATATTTTGTTATACAGTAATTTGAGACATTAGTTCGACAGGGCAGATGATAATTAAAATTCAAGTAATAATAACTGATATGGTTAAAATATATATTTTTTTTTATTTGCTTGAAAGGAATTATTAATAATTAAATAATTAAGAGTTAACTGAACACGTTCTAAATTTTTAAGTTATGACCAAAATAAAATTTATTTAAAAACTATCGCTTTTACTAAATTTTTAAAATATGCTAAGGAATAATTTAATTATGCTTGCAACTATTATAATAATGTTTTCGGCTTACATTAATAATTAATTCTGATTATAATAAAATATTTTATTATTTTATTGAATTCATATACTTCATACTATATATATTAGTGTAAATTAGTTCTCATTATAATTATTTTCTGTTAAAATATATCCAAGTAAATCGAAAGAACATTCAGAACTTATTTCATTCCCAACATCAATTTTCAACCTTTTATGAACTGAAGTTAGAATACAAACAGATATATCTATATCATTAACCTCAATAGTTGGTTTGACCATTTGTACATTAATAGCTCCATGTTTCCATGAATCTAACTTAACAATATGTTCATAATCCGTTGACGGATCATATGTATGAACGGATATAACATATCCTCGAGATAATTGAAGAGGTGGCTCGATATAGTATTTTGTTTTATTAGGTTGGTATGTAATAGATTTTTCAAAACATGTGACTTTGCATACCCGATTATTTGGACTAAAAACTGATAATTTTGAAGGATTCCCAACAATCATCCATAAAACATAACATTCCGATATATTGATGCTCGTTTCAATTAATTTGCTTATTATTGCATAAAATCCGTTAAACTCACATAAACCAAAATTAACAAAGAACTCTTCTAATTTTGAATAATTTTTTGAAATGATTGATCCAAATACTCTATAATTATCATCATCTAATGTTGGTTCCACATTTATATGTTTATAATATTCGACATTATTGTTATTTAAATCGCGTAAATCAGTAATTCCAGTCATTATAATTTTAAAATCATTTACAAATATTTTTTCGATTTTTTTTCGTTGCACAGCTTTAAGAACTTCATATAAAGGAATAATATTGTCAAATTCAATAATTTCTAAATTTTTTGAATTGTTTATCCAGTTAGACAAATTATTTTCTTCAACGATGTTTCCTTTTTGTGTTAAAAAGTATGAAATGTTCAACTTGTCTAAGTGTGGTTTTATCGATTCAAATATTGGTGGTTTTAAGTCAATATGATCATTAATAGTATTGGAAGAATTATTTGGAATTATACTTTTAAGGGATCTTCCTAAAACAATTTTTAGTGGAAAAAAATGACCATATTCATTAAATATGTCTTGTAAAGCTTCAAATGGATTCATACTATCAAGTGCTTTTTCTATTGATTCTTCAAATTCTTTTGAAAGTTTTATATTATCTTTATTTAGGAAAATTTCATATTTTTCAAATTTGATAAGAACATGATTATAATTTCCATAACTTTTAACATTACTTTTAATAAATGGATGAGAATTAAAATTTTTAATTGTCAGAATATTATTAGAGATCAAATTTACTTCTAATTTTGTTGACGGCTTGATCGCTTTCAAATAATTTTTATCACTTTGCTTGACCTTCGGAAGTTCATCAATAAAATTAATAGCAAATTTTTTGCTAATTTCTATTTCGTTATTTTTATTAAATACTAGCCCCTGAAAAAGGCGATAGTTACTAGCCCAACTCATTAAGTTATCGTGCAATGAATCGCCAACCCAATCTTCTAAACTTAATTTCCCGCCAAAATTGGCGATTCCAGGTTGTTTTTCATTAAAATTCTCAAAGATATCTGATGAAAATGTAATGTCCCTTAATTGAGAAATGGGAATGATGTCTTCATAAGAAATTATTTCAATCACTTTCTTCTGGTACAAATTATTCATCCAAATGGATAATTCTTCATGAGTAGATAATTTTTTCCCATCCAATGTTTCAATTCTTGGTAAAAGATTCAAGTCAAATATGTTATTGAATGGAATATTTCTAGAATATTTAGCTGAATTATATGCTTTGAATAAATCAAATTTTAAAACATCAATTTGCTCTGAAGTAGATAAATTAATACCCTTAATGAATAATTGACCTCCGACTAAGAACTTCATTGCAAGGAAATGACCATACATCATGTGTAATTTTTTTTCATTATCTGTACATTTTGAAAAAGATTCCAACAGATTACCCTTGTAAGTAATTTCAGCAATTGGAAAATTAATGCAGACATCCGATAGTTGTATATTATAATTAAAACCAACATTAATGTTATTATAAGCAAGCAAATTTGTAGGACATAAAGGATCGTTTATACTAGTATAAACTACAGGTTCTTCTTCAAATACATTTATATCCAAATAACCACTATCAATAATAGCTTGCTTACTTGGTTCTATACTGGATCCATTCAAGAATAGGCCATGATTTAACTTAAATTGTTGAATCATTTGTTGCTTATCAGTTGTTATGCTTATTTTTGTCTTCTTGATATTAGTAATTGTCGATGAAATAGGCAATTCAATCATTGATTTAGCATCATTAGAATCTTGTGTTTCTAAAGTATCAGATATGGATTCGATAGAAATTGAATCACTCATAGTAATATTACTATAAATGATGTATCAAAACTATAAATAAAAGATGTATCAAAATTTTGAAATAAATAGCAATATAAATACCTTAAGTATGGATCGAAAAATGAATATTCCAAATTTTCCAGATTTCCTTTCTCCTTTAACATTTTATTTTTACATAAACAAGACTTATTTTTACAACTAATACGTTTTATTAAAACCTGTTTAGCTCTTTGTTGTAGAAAAATTGGACTAAAATCATTGTCTCCCGTGGAAAACAAGCTAACATATTTTGGTTTTGAAGAATTAGATCTAGATATAAATCTATTAAAATTATTAACCATGTTTCTTATAATATTCTTATTATTATCACGTTCAAAAGGGAATATACCACAGGCTTCAGAGTTAAGAAAATTTGAAACAATAAGTATATTAAAACTAAAATCAGGTAAATCAACATGACAATTCTCCCTTGAACAATAAGCAAATGTGAATAGTCCGATTTTATTTTCTCCTTGAACACTGAAAAATTGATGTCCAATAACAAGCGAATTAGTTGAAGAATCCAACTTTGTTAATACAGGAATTCCAATACAAGGAACTTTGCTGATATCAAATTTAAAATCTAAAACTTCTTTATGATACATAGATGATGATGTTGCTTGAAACTTTTTTTTAATGATATTTAATTGAACATCCGTGAGAATATTATTTAAATCTGTATAGAAACCAATAACCATCCACCCAATTTTCAATTTACATTCCCGTTCTCTAAAATTTTCTTGAATACAATGAATTAATAGACTTGGTTTTCCTTTTGGCGGACAAAGTAGTTGACAGTTAAAAGTATCTTTTTTCACCTCTTCTGTATCAATAACTGTTGCAAAAAGGTTACAATCAGCATCTTTGTTTTGAATAATTCTTGAAATATGTGATGGTATATTGCGTAATTCAAATACTTTAGGTTCTCCAGATGCATCAAATATATAATTAAAATCCTCAACTTTTGAATAATGAATTTTTTTTCCTAAAGTTGAAATTATATGTAAACGCAATTCATACGGTAAAAGTTGAAAAATACCAATTGGGTTTTGATGTTCTATACATCCCCATTTGCTGTAATGGTTTAGAGATTCCAACCAGGCCTTGTCTTCAAAATTTTCAGATCTATCTCCTCCAATTAATTTTAAATCTTCATGATTATAATATATCGAATTATATCCTGAATCACTTATTCCACCTATATTATCAACCGACATTTCTTTAAAATAAGCTCTTCCGCCAAAGACAACTTTAGTTGGAACGAATTGACCATATTCCATAATAATTTGTTTAAAATTTTCTTTAGGATTCGTTGACCTTATTGCATCTTTCACAGATTTTATAAATTCTGCTTTTGGTTCTAAGTAATCACTGAATTCTAAAGACACTTGACCGTATTCCGTGTAACGATAAGTTGAATTGGTTTTAAATTTAGAAAGTTTATTTTGTGATTTTCCAATTGATATTCCAAAATTTGCGAAATTTTTTACATTAATATCGCTGGTAAAAAATAAATTTGTTTTCATCATCCAATCTTCTTCCGATTCGAATTCAAGGTTTCCTCTTCGAAATCCCTCTTTTATTTTAGTAATTTCACACATTTTCATTTTAAATGCTTGATTCTTGACTCTCTTTATTCCATCAACAGTCATGAAACACCCATAATCCAATCCATGCTCGATATTCAGAAGCTTCCAAAGTTGTATTGAATGCAAGTATAATATGTGGGTTTGGTTTGTCGAAAATTCTGTAATGGTTTTTAACTCAAATTTATCCTCATCTTCTTGTGAAATTTCAGCAAATTTACCATCGGAGGACTTTATAGAAAATAAAAAATTAACATTTTTAAAATCGTCATTCTTTTCGAGTACAGTGCGAACTTTTGATAATTTATCCTTAAGATTTAAATCGACCAATACATGGTGTTCTGAATGTGGGTAATCTATTATAACCGTCACTTTTCTGGAACCAAAAAAATAAGACATTTTTTTTTTTTTTTTTTTTTTTGCCTGAGGATCATCAAAAGTTATTGAGAAATCAGCTGACACTGCCATTTTCGTCAATGAAAATATTTGTTTCACGAGCGCCAATTTCTTTCAAAAATGCACTAAAATAAATTTCCATTTCAGGCATTGTAAAAATTATTTTTTTTTTTAAAAAAAAAAATTTTCTTTAAGATGACTTCCAAAAAAACGGTTTTTATTGAGTATATTTGCAGTCAGACTTCTATATTACATAAGTTAAATGTAAAAGATAAATTATCCGATATTCGTAAAGAACTTGAAAATTATGATATGATAAACGATATGTTATCATTTTCAAAAAAAAATTCACAAAAGAATGATTATGCTGAGATATTTTGCGAAGAAAATTTTTTTTTAGAAGAAATTATTGAAATTTCCGGAAGTCAAAATACTTTATATTTGATTAAAAGTTCAAGACCGGGTTGGAATACTTTGAATGAAAAATTCGAACTAGATTATGGGCGTACTATGACTTTTGATGGACTTAAGAAAGCTACTAAAAAAGCATTCGAAATGACAAATTGTATATTAACGGAGTTTGGCGCTAAAGGATATAAAAAAGATAAACTTGAATTTGAATCAAAAGAAGATTGGATGAAGAAAACTAATTTGTTTGTTGAAGCTGATGGTATTAATATAATGAATTTTGTAAAGTTAGGATTATCCGCCGGATTATTACAGTGTGAAAATTTTAACTTTGAAATTAAATCAACTTATCAATATACAGAATGTAGCAAAGTATTATTGGAATATAATAACTATTTAAAACCAACTGAAGAATTTAGAAAGACGGTAGAAGAAGCCATAAATTCAAAAGATCCTGGAAATTTTATGAGTATTATTGAGAAATATGGACGATTCATTCCGACTGAAGTTATTTTGGGTGGAAGAGTTTATTTTAGAGATGTCGAAAAATCCGAAAAGAATTCTGCAGAAAAGTCCATGAATGGGAATTTTAATTTAAATATGGAACCTTTAAATTCTGGTGTTTATTCTGGTGGAATAAAAAGAACTTCAGAATTTTACAAATTTAATCGCAATCACATGAGATTACTTGGAGGAGAGCATCCTGAAGATAAAGATTTTAATGAAAAGGCTTGGATAAAATCATTAAAAAATCATGACAGTTGGGAATGTATAGAATATCGAAATCCTATCCATATTTTCAAGCTATTACCTGAAGAATTATATAAACGAATCTATGAATTTATTGGAAAAAAAATTCTTTATTCAAATATTGAAGATCATCAATTTAAATCTGGAAAAATTAACGAAATAAAAAAGCTACCGTTAGATATTTCGAAAATTCTTCAGAATAAAATTGATTGCAAGATCTTCGCAACAGTCGTTGATACTGAAAATTCAAAAAATGTTTTTAATTGTCAAATTCTTCATCCATCAGGCGAGATACCAAAAATTTTAATCCATTGTATTCAACCAAAATATAAGTACACCCAGTACTTCCTCAGGCTCAGAAGAAATTTCAAATTGAAGATAGGGTTAATGATTATTGGCTATGATACGGAATTTAACTCTGTATTTTCAGATATTAATGTCCAATTAATAGAAAATCTTTATGATACAAATAATCCAAATACTTTAAAATTAGAAATTAAACGTGACTCAGAACCAATCGTGGGAATTCCTGTATTAAGCAATTGGGATTCTTCAAATAAGTCTCATGTCATCGGACATCATTTTTTTAACGATCAAAACGAAATTGGTGTAAACATATTCACTTATTGTCTAAAAAATAAACAATGCAGTGTAGATTTACCTAATTTTACCTTTAATGCACTTATTATTTCAAATTTTCCTAATTGTAAAGAATTTGGTATTTTGTCCTTTGATTATATTTCAAAGAAGCAACTTATTGATCTTGAAAAATTCGATAATCAAAATCCAAAATACATTAGTTTATGTTCTAAAAATGAAATTAATTATGGACTAATTTTTTTAAAACAGGTTAGTAAGCAAATAAAAATAAAAATTCTTGAATGTAAATGCCAAAAATGTAAAATTCGTGGAAATAAAATAGAAATATCTACAGACAATATAAAATGTGCATTTATTGATCCATACATAAGGTATTTATTTTATTATTGAAAATTTATCATTTATAAATTTTATTATTCTAATTAAAAATCTTTTAATTTTCAAGACATTATTGATCGATATATTTATCCATATTGTTTATATGATTTGAAACTTTATTAGCTTCCTTATAAAATTTTCGGAATTAAATTTTAAGTACAATTTTAATCTAAAACTGAAAATAAAATGATTTAAAAAAATTGTACTATTTATCTTCGAACTGCTTTATTCTTTAAAATCAGATAATTAATGATAAGAATTATGATAATAATGAAATTTAAACTTAAATATAAAGTAAATAAAGAAAATTAAAATGGATTCTAATGAAGTTACAGTTTACTTTAACTAATATAAAATTTTATATAATAACTAAAAGTTAATAAGATTAATTTAAATATCAAATTTGTATCCTTCTTCATAATAAGTGAATTTGACTTTATAAGAGTATTGTAAATCATAATTATATTAAATATACTAAGATAAATTCCAATTTCATTTTTTAAACTAAAATATTAACAAATAATATTGTTATAACTGTTGATTTATAATGATATTTAGCTTATTAATTTTAACTTAATAAGAAAATTTAAATGATTAAAATTTTATTTAATAAGTAGTATATTAATCAAAATATTTTAAATATATATCTCTTAAACTGTAGAGGTTCGCAGGCAAATTTGCCTGCTTATTTACTATAAATTCCCTTCTAATTTACTTTTATGAAAAATTAAAATTTTTAAAAATTTTTTTTTTAAATTAATTTTATAATATTATAATAAATTTTATTTTTTAATTGTATTATAAATAATTTTAGATTACTTATAAGCTAAAAAATTATAAATTAAAAATTTTATTATTGACCTT